GTATGTATGTATGTATGTATGTATGTATGTATGTATGTATGTATGTATGTATGTATGTATGTCCAAAAATGGATTGTTATATATTTAGAATAGAACAGTGGTTTCCAAAGTCAGTCACAAAACACAAAGTATAGGGTCTGGAGATTTTGCTATTTTTATTTGGTGAATTAAAAGTAAAAAAGTTTGGGACACACTGCTCTACAAGCCCAAAGAACAACTGAGAAACCTGTGAAAATGTATTCCTCTTGATCAATCCCTCTCACCTGAAACAGTAGCTCCCTGTCAGGCCTGGCATGTGTGAAACTGGGTGCGTGATCGTTTTCATCCAGCACAGTGATGTGAGCAGTGCCGGTGGCGCTGCGGGGAGGCGTACCTCCGTCCTGTACGACCACAACAAACTGATAGCTCGACTGCTGCTCTCTGTCCAGGGCGAGGCGGGTACTGATCTCACCTAAAGCAAGAGGAGACAATTACAGAGAGACGAGCTTAATGGTGTAATTCGTAAAATTAAATTATAAGCTCTTGAAATGAATTATGTAGCTATTGCTGCTGCTTCTGAAACAATATTTAATCAAGGGTAACCGAATTTATAAATGAAATGAAATATAATTAAGCTGCTGTAGTGTTTTAGTGCTTTTCTTCACCTGTTTGTGAGTTGATCTGAAAGTGTCTGTCTGAGTGCAGCAGTCTGTATGTGAGTCGAGCGTTTAGTCCTGCATCTCTGTCGGTGGCAGACACCCTGCCAAAGCCTGTTCCTGCTAGTAAGTTTTCTCGAACRGCCAGGAAAACCCTTTCCTGGCTCAGTCTTGGAGAATTATCGTTCTCATCGGTTACAGTCACCCTGACAGTGGCACTGCCGGTTCTCCCCACCCCTCCTGGACCCGACGTGGCGAGGACTGTCAGCAAGTACATGTCTTTCACTTCCCTGTCCAGAGAGCTACGAACAAACAGCCACCCAGTGTCTGGCATGATGCCAAACCCAGCTGCGTCACCGTCGGGTCTGAGGCGGTAGGAGATAGAGGAGGAGGAAGACGAAGAGCTTCCGCCGTTCCCAGAAGCCTCTCTGTTGAGCGCTCGAACCTGGAGGAAGCGTGTGTTGAGCGGCGCGTTCTCTCGCAGCTCCACCCGGTAGGTGAGGGTRTCAAAGGTCGGGCCTTTTGCATCCTGGGCCTGGATGTGAACCACAAGTGTGAACGTGGAGCTGAGCTGAGGAGCTCCACCGTCCTTGGCAATGACCTGCAGATCGTAGCGTGGAACGTTTTCATAAGAGAGACTCCCGATCAAGCGTATCTCCGCGCTGCCGCGGTCGACACCGAACGTCCTCTGGCCACTGCTGCCTGTGGCGCCAGCAGAGACGAGGTCAAAGCTGAGCTGACCGTTGTGACCCGAGTCTTTGTCAGTGGCCTGAATGCGGTAGATAATCGCTCCCATTTTGGTGACCTCGGGCAGGAGGAGCGACTCRGACGAGGAGGGGAGGAAGGTCGGGGCGTTGTCATTTACGTCGGAAATAGTTATGTGAACCCGGCTGGTTCCGTAGGCTGGAGGCGAGCCGRAGCGTGCCTGGATCTCCAGGTCGAGACTGGGGCAGGTTTCATGGTCAAGGGGAAGGGCTGTGCGAATGGTACCAGAGGAGCTGTCCACTGTGAAGTAGCCATCGGGGTCTCCAGAAGAGATGGAGTAGAAGATATCWTTAGAAACACCTGAATGGAAGAGAGGGGTCGAGGGAAAAGGCAAAGACGAGGATCAGGGTTAAAATACTTTCTGAACATGGGTGATATTCATAGCTTAAAATTAAAAGACAAGTTCTAAGATTGCAAGTGTTAAACAACTGGTAAGGGAGCAACAAGAAGCTCCACCACAAATCAGGCATAAATAGTAGGACTGTGTATTGGCAAGAATTTGGTGATATGATACATATCATGACACAGGGGTCACAATATGATATATTGCAATACAAATCAAAGCAATATGTCTTTTTTTTTCACCAAAACAGCCTGATGAAAAATTGTAAAAGAGAGCACAGCATTATATGCACACAGCCTGATTACATTCTGTTTATTTTTTATGCAATCAGAAGAGCACTGAACAACAATGAGAACTGCATTTGTATTTCACACTTCATCTTACAACATAATTAATGACAAATCAACACAGTGCTTTTGAAAATCGATATATCAGGGAATGAGATATCACAATACTTTAGTGTATCGATATTTTCTTACACCCCTAGTAATAGTGAGTTCATTTGTTCGTTTATTAATGATTAATGTTTAAGCTGTGCTCAGTGTAGTGCCATGATTAAAGGTAATGTGCTTTTACATCCTCACACAGGTAAAAAGCTCTCTATTTCACACAGAATTACTTGCCAGACTAAATATGTTGTGTTTCTATTGAAATGTCCTTGTGGCTTGGCCTAATTAAGCAAAAACTATAAGAGAATTAAAAATCAGGTTTTCTGAACATAAAAGCAAATTCCGTACTAAAGATGAGAGATCTCCTGTTGCCAGACATTTTATGACAGCTAGTCATGATATTTGCTCCTTGAAATTTCAAGGCATAGAAGCTGTTCCTCCTCTCAAAAGAGGAGGTGATAGAGATAAACTTCTGCTACAAAGGGAAGCATTCTGGATCCACTCATTACAGACTGTTAACCCTAAACGACTTAATGAAGAACTGGTGTTGAACTGTTTTCTGTGATTTTTGTCCTTTTTGTAAAAACATTTTTTTGTAATTTTTCTGAGATTTCATGTATTCCTATATATTGTATATTATTGAAGTCTACTAGTTGTGCATGTTAGTCACACATGTTTCTCCTGTTTGTGATTAGCTTAGGTGTTTTTACCTCTTTATRTAGATTTGTAGTTTATCTGATCTGTAACAAGTTGACAACAGCATGTAGCTAAAACCCRTCCTGTTTCTGCCYTTATTAAAACAATAGCCTTTTTTGGAGTGCTGGTTATCCCATTTCTTTTTTCATTGATTGATGTTACGCATTTCATTAAGAGTGCAAGAACTCCCACCTGTTTTGGTAGCAGCGCGGACCACTCCCACCGCCGTCCCCCTGAGAACATCCTCGGACACAGTGAAGAAATACTGCGCCTGGTCGAAAACCGGAGACGCCACCGAGCCTCCCACTATGCTAACATTAACCCGGGCATTGACGGGCGCCGTCAGACCGCCACCATCYTCAGCCGATATCAGCATGGAGACGACTGTGTTGGCTTTACCATGAAGTGAACGTGAGAGAGAAATCACTCCTGCAAAAGCAAAAAGACTAATCACTGGACATCCTTTGCTTTTTTTTTAAACATTTTAACGGAAAAATGTTAATGACACAAGCTTAGCTACTCAAAAACCACAGTAACACCGATGTCAATAAAAAGGTTGTAAATCTAAATAATACTTGCCAAATAAGAAACTGACAAGATTTTTTTAACACACATGATTGCTACAGAATTTGCCAAAAAAATATTATTTAATACAAGACCACAYATGGGCGTTTTGGAAGTGAGGACAGTGATAAATTAAAAGTCAAATGTAAAACAAACACTAACGACAATATTCTGCAGCTGCTTAGCACATACCCATAAAATATGCAACATGACTTCTGTGCACTTGTTCAAACTAAACTAAATATTTCTTCACGGGAGGAAAAAAAAGAACAACAAAAAGTTTAAATGTGATGCTGATGCTTAATGCGCTGCAAAAAATGTGAACCTTTTTTTTTTACTTTTAAGAGTTAATCACAATTTTAGATGTTTACAAAAATTATATTTAGAATAAATTAGTTTAACTTGGTGTAATTCATTGTAACGGTTTTGTTTGTAAAAAAAGACAAGTATCCACCCGTTTGCTACACTTTGCATTYAGAAAATACTCTGCAGAAAACATATCTTTTCAGATCTTAGAAATCTAAGCAGGGTTGGGCCTGATCAGTACATGGATGGGAGACTGTGAATACCARGTGCTGTAAAACCAATGTCAAAACAGGTCATAGGGTTGCCTTCTAAGAAGGATGACAGGTAGTAGTATTGTCCTTTAAATATTGTATACATAAAGTAATTTGTGAATGAAAGTACAGTCAATAAATCATCTTTTTCTCATTAATGTATCTTTAGAAAAAGATGATAGCAAAACTTCAAAAGTCATGTTTAAATTGTTGGGATCTGAAAAAAATCACTGCCTCCCTTTGAAATTTTAGAAAATTCAGGTACTGCAAATTAAATAAAAACAATCTATCAGTGCAAAAACTACTTAAGACACATACCAATGTTTATGATAACAGCTAAAAGACTGTTGTCTGAAATTACTTTTTAAGTAAATTCACCTGTGTCCTTGTTCAGGGTGAAGAAAGTGGAGCCTCCTCCAGGTACAGTGCGATAGGTCACCCGGCCGTTTTCTCCCGCATCTGGGTCATTGGCCGTTACCTTGACCACAGAGGTTCCCGGGGCGCTGTGGGTGCTCAGGCTGACRGTGTACAGGACCGGGTAGAAGGTCGGCTGATTGTCATTGATGTCCACCACTGTGACCCTCACACGAGCTACTGCACTCAGACCACCCTGTACAAGAAAACACAGGAACAAATTGTAGGCTGATTTAGACTTCATTTAAAGAATATCTGCAGTTACATGTCATTTCAGCAGAGTGTGGTGACTCATGGCAAATGCAATCACTGTAATACTATAATAACAGACGTCTGCCCAAAAGTTAAGATCTATGGATGTTAAATTGTAGTTGTTTAAGTTAAATAACTGGACAATATTTCTACATAGACAACATTCAATTACTTTCCTTTGCCCTGGTAAAGAGGACTATAATGAAATGTCTAACAATAAATCTGACTTACACTGTCAACACAGAGGAAACCAAAAAGACAAATTCTCTTTTAATGAGCTCTTAACTTTGGAGCCAATCAAGTGCTGWATGCATTTTTCTGCAAACCCATTTCTCTGCATTTGTGGGCTTGGTTTTACAAGACCATTAAACACTGGGAAAGTAGAGACAAAAGATGAAGAACTGGTGTGGATCAAGTTAGGAACCACTACTGGTATGATTAATAATTTATAACATTTGTCATGATTCTTGTTTTTATGGTTTTTGTTAGTAGTTTGACTGTTTTTCATTGTTTGTTATCGTCTTATTTTCTCATTTCTGTTCAGTTTCCTGTGCCGTGTTACCCTCAGTCAGCTTCTTAGTGTTTTTCCAGCCTGCCACACTCACCTGACCATAGTCAGTAATCACCCAGGTGCTTTCACTCCCCAATTATCCTCCGTAGTATTTAACCGGTGTCTTGTCTTCATTTCCCCGTTGGATCATTGCCTTTCATGCCTCATCTCTGTCCATGTTATCTTTTGTATTTTTGCTGCCACATCAGCCTTTTTCTTTTGTCATTCATTAAATCAGTTTTGTTTGCATTCAGGTCCTCGTGTCTGCCTGMATTTTGGGTTCCACACAACAAATCCTGACAACAATGTGAGTTTTGATTCAATTTATGTACATTCAAAGAAATAATTCTGATGTTCTGAGATGGGGCACCTGCCATTTGTGCTTCTGCTGCTACTATTATATGTGACAAATCAAAGAATTCAACACAAATAACCTTTARATGCAAATTTAAACCAAATGTACGGGTATATAAAGGAGCATTCACACAAACTGCTATGAAATCTTCAAACCTGAAGCTAGTTGAAGAAGAATATCCACTTTGGTCTTAGACCAGCTGTTAACTTGCACATTTAATCATAATTAAACTTTTCTTTCTCCTAACCAAGGTTGTTCAGAGCTATGCAACAGGTTTGATACATCTAAACTTTATTTATAACCTCTGTTCAACCACTAGTGTGCTTAGAATAAAGTGTTTAAATGTGGTCTGGTAAGGCTCTTTATTTGCTCTATTAGGATGATAAACATCTTTTCTTGTCAGKGAGTTCTAGTGCAGCTTAAACACTATTGTGTTCTTGTAAAACGTTAAATTAAAACACCATTTAGTAGGATCTGTTTTTCTACTTTTACCCCTATTCCTCCCTGTATTTCCTGTTTTCCTCTGATTGCTTTGCCATCCTGTTGTTCCACTTGTTTTTCCAAAACACCCGTTTATGAGGAAAYTCATATGTCTTCTCCGGCAGCGTCCTGACATGACTGTCACTTTGATCAAATTTATTTGGGTGCAGCTGTACACATGCTCACAACATAAAGCTTTGATCCGGAGGGTTATATATCTAGAAGGCAGTGGGTTTTGTCATGAGGAAACACAAACCAGCTCAAATATTCCTCCTGGTGCACGTCAAACACTTCAGCATCAAGTCAGCTGGGCTGATTTTGGTCTTGTTCAAAAGTCCACGTTTATATTTTAACAATCAGGCTTTGATTGTGGAAAAAGAAATGTGCAAATCATGGAGAGGTCCAGTATTTCATAGAATATTTGTTCTTACTGTTTTATAAGAGTGGTGAGACCAGCCATGCTGTATGTTATGGAGACAACAGAGACAGAACTGAAAGTGTCAGAGCTGAAGATGTTGAGGTTCTCATTAAAGGTGACATGAATGGATAAGATTCGGATTGAGATTATCAGAGGTACAGCACAGGCTGAATGGCTGGTTAAAGTTGGAGAGGCCAGACTGAGATGATTTGGACATGTCCAGAGAAGGGACAGTGGGTGTTTTGGTAGAAGGACATTCAGAAAAAAGGACAGAGGAGATTTCAGGATGCAGTTGAAAAGGACATGGAGGTATTTTGGAATGAGGACAGAGTGAGATGGAGGCAATGCTGTGGCGACCCCCGAAGAGGAAACAGGCAAAAGAAGGAAAAGAAAAAGATGTTCTTACTCCATCTGTTGCAGTCACGTTTAGGTCAAACTTGTCCAATCCTTCATCTCTGTCAAGAGCTGTGCTGGTGCAAAGCTGGCCACTGTGCTTGTCTATGGTAAACGGTAGAACGCTTCCAGAACTTGAACCAAGGTTGTAGGTGATGGTACCGAAAGAACCTCGATCCTTGTCTGTGGCTGGCACCTGAAGGGGGAAAAAAAACACAAGTTAGGAACAGTCCAACTGTCATAAACGACATTAAAAGAGACACATCATGCTTTTAAATGTGTCCCTTTTCAAATTGAAATTCTTTAGTTGGGGTTTATAAAAAGTGGAACTGCAATGCTTTGGTCTGAATTCCTCCTTTTTGTAACTCCGCAATCCCCTCTTTCACCCCTTTTTTCTAAGGTGCGCCTCAAACCAACTCRTTTTGACGCTGTGTCTTTAACTACAAATGACGACTTGCCCATCCAGCCTCACATGTTGGAGCCAGAGTCTGACCCAGAGCCAGTAGAGAATGAAGACGACAAAATTATAGTAAAGTCCCGACCTTATTTAGCCGTTCAGTCACAAATACATTGACATAATAGTTCAGAAAGCGGCCAGAGAAAACTGAACAGGTTAAAAAACGTGATCAGGAGAGACTAAATTACATTTTCCTGCACTTCTAGAGACTCCAAGTACACAACAAAATGCATCTAAATTGCTAAAAATGTGGATTTTGCTTCACTTTAAACATGAAGCAACACACCATCGCTTCAAATAGACCAAAAAATGTAAATATGTCACTTTTTTATGTGAGCTCAGGGTTTTTTCTGTTATCATAATAATGTAACATAGTTCAGTCACCTCATTTGTCAGAACACCTGCTCTTGTCCAAATTTCACACACCATRGCACTACATTAGGATTTCCAGAACACCGTAAATGAATCAAAAAAACGTATGTGACACAGATTCATTTTTTATGTACATTACAGTTTGAAGCATGTAAAAGTGTTGATAAATCACACCATGGTGCGTTTGGAAAACTGGCAAAAGGKCCGGTGGTGCTGTGTAACCATAGATACAGAGGAAGGGGAACTGAGGACATTCAGAAAAAGAGAGAAAAGTGGACAGGAACAAATCAGAGGCTTTGCAGAGACTGTTCATTAGGACTGGGAATCAAAGGCAGTTCAGTGMACTGTACAGGATCAAATGACAAGCTCGTTTTAACATTGTTTTCTATGAAACACACAAAAGGAGAATCACCTACACACACCCCAGATAATGTCGATCTATCCTTTTTTTTAAATAAAAAAAAAATCAAGGAAAATATTTGGTCTTTTGATTGATTATATATATATATATATATATATATATATATATATATATATATATATATAAAATATGAGAAATGTTGCAATTCTGCTCAAATCTCTCTATTTTCTTTTTCCCTTTAATACTTTTCACAGCAGTCAGTACTAATCAGTCTGATTTTATGTCTGATTGTTGGTAGTTGCCTATCCCTCGGTGCTTCCACTCCCATCCAATCCCCAATTATACTGATTTTAGCTCAAATAAAACAAACACAGACGTGAACTCTGATTTCTTTAAAGAATTTATTRCACATTTGAGCTGAACTCGCCCTGGCCCCGAACCCCACAAAGGACAGAACTACCATAGCAGACATCTGATTGGCTTCATATCTTTACCATTACATTTGGCCAACAAGCAGAAAGTCAAACTGCTGCTGCAATAAGTAATTAAGAAAAAGGAGTAACTGAAGAAATCCTTCAAAGTTTTAAGTCAATGCATCATCAAAGCTAGACAGTTGTGGATTTTGAGGGGTCACATCTGTAGCCGGACAGCGTTTACACCTGGGAGTTCTGGATTATTGAACTTCCTGTAGCGTATACTATTGAGACTAACACTTTCGTTTGGGACCTACACTTAATTCTAAATGTTCATTGCATCTTCCTGTCAGTCTGTGATGGATTAACCACCTGTGGTGATTTTGCACAAGATAACACGAGGGCCCCATTCTTTCCACTTAATCTAATTAAAAGAATTTAACACCCCATGACTCTTCACCTGGTCACAGGGTGACATCATTGTCACTGAAACGATCAAAAAATGTCAGAGACTGTTACGTTTTGGTTGAGAAAAAGGAGAAATGTTTTGTTTTTTACTCAGGGTTTAGTAAAGTATACCAAGAAAAACAGTCCTGGATGTTTTCAAAATTTAAAAAAATGATGTGAAATGACTTTGGGAACAATAAAAGTAAGACTGATTCTCTACACTCTTCAAAACTTTAAAAATCCTATGCAGTATGGTACAGATTCTTCATGCTGGAAAAAGAAAAGAAAAGCAAAGCAAGCCCAGTTCTTAAAAAAAAGTCCTGCAAGTGTTTGGTCACAGAAGCAAACAGAACTATGAAACAAAATATGTAGCAGTCTGGGTTTTTTTCTGCGGTTTCAAACTGTACATGGAAAGTGGCCGTGTTATTGAAAACTTTCACTGTCAAAGCAGAACACAGGGCAGATCTTTGAGGCTAGAATTCAGAACAAGCAATGACAAAGCGCAATAATTAAAAACAGATGATAACACTGTTATCTCAGTCGGAAGGGACATTAGTGGTTTTGGCTCAGCGGTAGGGAGGTGGTCTTCCAATCAGAGGAACTGGGCGACAATTCCTGCCGTGTGTCAGRGTGTCCTTGGGCAAGACACTGAAACACCCCACCGCTTCTGATATGCTTATTGTTGGCTCAACGGGAATGTAAAAATGCTTTATACAGATTATAAACTATAACACAAAACACTGTATGAGTGTTTGTTTCTGATGGAGTTACTAAGAAACATTGTAAAAAGCTTTATAGCACCTGGGTGAGGTTTTAAAAAAGGGTGTGGACCAGTTGAAATTTGCACAAAAATAAGTTTTGACATCATTAATCTGAGGTTTAAAAACTCATAATATGCTTTTATTTTGGATTTACATCATGCGTGCACTTTTATTAAAAGAAAAAAACTCTATACTCGACCTGTCTTCTTAAATCTAACAGAGCAGACAAGGGTTTTTGCTGAAGAAACATTACCAGGGCCTGCTTTAAGACTCATGAAAAACCACCCAGTCTCTATTTAACTACTCCTTGTTGTACTCTTTATCATCCTAACGGTGTAAACACACTTGAACCTAGCAGCACAGACACTGGCCCATTCCTCTCAACATTTAAATCTCTCCTGGTGTTTTGTTTCGTACATATCTATCTGGTGCCTGTCTCCATAACTTTGCTTCTGCCGCCCTATAGCTCTTCCACATCTAAGAAAAACTTTTGGATGAGGCAGAATTGTGTCTCTTGCATGATGGTCTAGTTACAGATCTAGTTTTGTTACTCAATGCATGTTTCCCCTTTTTCTGTGATGCCATAAAGCAAGAACATGGATGTCTCCAGTGCCTCATTTCTTTGTGCAACAGATAAATGTGAAGTCTCCAGTTAGGAAATGTATTTATCTGATGTTAGTCGATGTTAGACAAAAAGCGATGATGTTTCTATTTTGTTGGAGAGAAAAAAATCATAGATCAAGAGTTTAAATTTGGGAAGTGGTCTGCAGAAATGTTAGGTATACACATTTGCAGTTAATGGGCTAAATCGGGCAAAACCACAAAGCGGTTTCTTTCTCGGGAGCTTTGATGAAACACCTGACAGAAGGAATTGCATCAGGATTCTGTTTTCCATTTTTAGATGCATGAACTGTAGTTTGCATTTGAAAAGATGCAACTTACAGATGTCTCATAAAAAACAGAAAAAAGACTGAAACTAAAAGAGACGTATTGTGGACTACTTCTCATTTTGTCAATGCTTCTTTTAGCCAAGGATTATGCAGAACTGATTTTAAAAAAGACAATTTTTGTATATCTGACAGTTTTTTTTTGTAAATGTACCATTAAATTAAGCATGCTTTTGTTGTCTAACAAGTTAATTAATAGACAACTATATAGCTGTTAAATAACAGCCCAATTACTCATAGTTTGACCACAAAAACAGAGTATGTGAGTCCAGACTAAGGCTTGGAGCTTCCTGTCCCAGATGTGCCATTTATTCCTAACTGGGACAGAAGAGGAGTTCTCTCTCACTGGAGCATTAACACAGATCCACTTCTCATTTATTCACCTCTGTTCTTCACAACCATTTTTCTTCTTCTGTCCTACATTGTCTTTTTAGCCTTCTTTATGTTTCCATTGTTGCTTCAGCTCCTTTTTTTTTTTGTAAAAGTGATGTATCAACAAGATCACATCCACACATCTCATTCCAGTCCACAGCTGAACACACATCACTCAGATTCATCTGTCAGTGTTGGTTTAATGATGCAGAGAATACTTAGTCTACTTAGATGATCGCGTTGTTTTAATTATGCCACTGGCCAAAAAAACATTGTAATGTTCTACATAAACACTTCAATAAGGACATGCATTACATCAGCTGATGTGTTCCAGCTTTTGTTTGTTTTTACTTTTAGACTCAAGCATCTATTTTTTTTCCACCCTCCTTTTTTTTCTTTATATCCTCCCCTCTTTCATTATACTTMGAACTTTATTCCTCTGGCAATATTCTGCTCCTTTTTCAACTTCACTAGTTTCATCTTCACCAGATGTGAAGGACCGTCCTCTGGAGTTTGTCTCTGTAAAACAATGCTGAGGATCTCCATGGCCAAGGGGGTAGGGTTGGGGGTAAGTGGAATTTGACCTATATGAGCTGCTTCCTACCTGTTGAAAAGAACTCAGTTTTCATAAACAAATTATTGTCAGACTAAGGGGAAATTTATTTAAAATAGTCCTTTAAACAAAAAGTCCATGGGGATTCTGGAGCTTGACAATGGAAGGCCTCTGAGTGGGACAATAACACAGCCTGGTGCTATTTACAAGAAAACAAAATAGGGAATCTGGGTTAAAACTCATAACGTAGAGTTGGATGGACTTAAAACATTTGTTTACCTTTATTGCTTATATCCCACTGATGCATTACTTTGCTCTCCAAAGAGCAGCAGTCCTAATATAAGGCATTCTAAGGCCTCAAAATAYATTTCTACCTGTCTGTTGCCAATGAATTTACTCTGCGGGTACAATTAAAATATATGGCAGCAAAGGAGAAAAGGGGAGGGGAAGGTGGGAGATGTGAGAGAGCAGGGGAGGGGGTAGTTTGGCAGAAGAACAAAAGGCCAAGCTAAT